CAACTACTTTTGTCAGTATTTAGTTGTAACATTTAATAGGGACATTCCTCTGTAGTTTGTGCACTGAAGTTTGGAAGCTTTCTTGTGTATTGGGGTTATTAGTGCTGTTTGCCATTCTGTTGGAATTTTCTCTTCTTGACAAATTTTAGTTATAAGTTCTACTGTGATGAGATCTCCAGGGGCTTTGTGGTTTTTCATAGAATTGATTACTCTGAAATTTCTTCTAGAGTTGACTAGTTTATTGCAGGGCCTGGTCCTCCATTTGGTGGTTGATAATCTTCATCTTGTCTATTGTCCTCAATTACTATGTCCTAAAATGTTCCATTCTGGCTCTCACACATTTGTGGTCTGGCTTGGTATCCAATCTTTTCATCTTTTATCTTTATGTACATTGCTCTGATGTTTCCCTCCCTTAATACGTCTTTTTTTTTAAATTTAGCTTTTCCCCATTTCCTCTTTTTTCTTCCTACACATTTCTATGGCTTTCCTCTGGCTTTGTTCCTTTCTTCAACAGTCTGTCTGCATTCATGATCAAATCAGCCCACTCTATTGTTTGATAGCTGCAATGCTCCTACTTTTTCTGATTTTCTGATGTTTTCACAGCATTTTTTTAACACGATCCCACTGTTCATGTAGGTTGTTTTCCCTGTTTCCTCCTGTGATGCTTCTACTTGTTACATCATTTTTGGAAAGTTTTTGGAATTGTGAAAATGTTTCATGAGCTATCTCAATGAAATTTTGCACACGTGTACTTCAACAAATTATGCAAGCCTACTTTTAATATGAAAGACGTACTTTCAATATTTAGACCGAATTTTTTGCATTATGCAAAGGTCGCACAAGGTGGGAGGGGGGAATCAATTAACTTTTCAAGGGGGGGGGGGGGGAAAAAAATTTTTTAAGTTTTAATTTAATGTAGCATGTATGGTGAACGAACGGACAGGAGATCAGCTTAGTTACTTTCTCTTTATTTTTCTCTTTATTTTAATACATTTTTTGTCTATTTTTGTCTAAAAATTTTTTATCCAATCAATCCAGGGGGGGGGGGCAAGTGCCCCACCTTGCCACTACCTACGGACGCCCATGCACACAGATAAACCACTGTTACACAATACACTAGTGAAAACACCGAGATACTCACAAAAAAGGGGGAAATTCATTTTAGGAGGGATTTCAATTGTATAACAAGTAGTTTAGAAACAAAAAACAAAAAAAAACAAAAAAAAGCAACAGAAATGAAAGATAACATTTTAGAAGAAATGACACGAACAGAAACAATACAATACATACCAGAGACTTATAACATGGTAGACGCATACAGAACACTACACAAGGGAAGGAAAGAAACAACATTTACAGGCAACACTTTCAACACCAATGCAAGAATTGATAGCTTCTACATACCAAAAAATAGACACAATAAACGAAGCAAACACATTCCAGAAGCACTAGGATTGATAGATCAATAAGTGGTAAAAAAAAAAAAAAATAAAAAAAAAAAAAAAAATTAAAAACAACCCCAAAAAAGAAAAAAAAAAAAAAAAAAAGAAAAAAAGAATTGATAGCTTCTACATACCAAAAAATAGACACAATAAACGAAGCAAACACATTCCAGAAGCACTAGGATTGATAGATCAATAAGTGGTAAAAAAAAAAAAATAAATACAAGATAAAACATTAAAATCATCCCCACATTGGAAATTTAATAATAAATTTTGAAAAACCAATCAGTTGACAGACATCATTAATAACATAATACAACAATATAGCACACTACCATCAACAAACAGGGCAACACTGGGAGCTCTGAAAATCCACAATCAAATATGTCACATAAAAATTTTCAACACCGTTACACAGACGACTCAGAGAAAGAGAGAAGGAATTAGAAATACTCTTTACAGCAGAAAAATCAAACAATCCTTTGAGCCACAATACCCAAGAATCAGAAGACAAACTAGAAAAATACAACATAAAAAAAAAAAAAAAAAAAAAAAAAAAAAAAAAAAAAAAAAAAAAAAACAAAAAAAAAAAAAACACCAAAAAAAAAAATTAATTATACAAAAAAAAACGAAAGAAAAAAAAAAAAAAAAAAAAAAAAAAAAAACAAAAAAAAAAAAAAAAAAAAAATCAAACAAACCTTTGAGCCACAAAACCCAAAAAACAAAAAAAAAACAAAAAAAAAAAAAAAAAAAAAAAAAAAAAAAAAAATGACGCACAGGTAAGGAATAGAACTGTCACTAACAATTCAGAAGCACCGGAAAATTATTTTATTTTTTTTAACAATAGAGGACGATATACACAAAAGCAGACGGATAGGACAAATCACAGAAAAAGAAAGGACACACAAACTTACACTTCAAAGATAGTCAACACGTTTCGAAAATCCTACACACAACATTTCGGTACAGGGCAAACAGATAAACAAGATAAGTTTACACAATTCACACAAAACTAAACGAAAATAATACATAAGAAATGGAGAAAAACATTACATTAGCGGACATTAAAACATCACAGTCCAGAATACACAAAAACAAAACACCCAGACCAGATGATCTAACAACCGAAATCTACATGTTATATTTCGAAACACTAGGCCAAGTTTCACACGCCACACTGGAAGATGTTTACAACAACAACAAAGAGTTAGAACACTCAATGAATACTTTATACATTATAACATGAAAGAGGTACCACAGTCACACTCAATAAATACTTCATACATTACAAAAACAAGAAGTTAATACACTCAATGTATACGTCGTACATTACAACAACAAGGAGTTATCACACTTCATGAATACTTCATACATTATAACAACAAAGAGTACCACACTCAATAAATACTTCATACATTACAACGATAAGAAGTGATCACATTCAATGAATACTTGATACATTACAATAACAAGAAGTTAACACACTCAATGAAAATTCCATACATTACAACAACAAATAATAACCAAAATCAATGAAAACTTCATTCATTACAACCACACACTCTATGAATACCTCATACATTAAAACAACAAAGAGTTACCACACTAAATGAATTCGTCATACATTATATTAAGAAAGAGGCACAACACCCAATGTATAGTTCATACATTACGCTTTTACGAAACACTCAAAAAAGATATAGACAGAACACAACTTTAAAATCACAGACCCATATCTTTACTTAACAATGAATATAAAATAGTCACAAAAACGCACGGAGCCATCCTGGCAGGAGCTATCGTGTAAGAGGACATCCTAATAAACTGCAAGCACTTTTAAACAACCTAATAAAGGTCTGCAATACTTACGGCCCACGTGCTATTTTTTTTCGGCCCGATTAGCTTTGCATAAGCATTACGACCCGCCTTACATTTTGAGTTCGGCATGGCTGCCCTAATATATACATGGACTTTTGGGGAACCCATGACTTGGAGGGGGCCCGTTACTTTTAGGGGATCCATGACTTTTAAGGAACCATTCACTTTTAGTGAAGCTACGACTTTGAGAGACCCGTTACTTTTAGGGGCCCATGACTTTTTGGGGCCCCATGACTTTTAGGGGACCCATAACTTTTAGGGGACTCATGACAAGAGATCTATTTTATTAATTTTTCAAAATGTATTTTTATTACTTTTTTGTTTGTATGGAGAGGGCATTTGAACGTGGTGGTAATGACGAATTTTATGAGCAAAGTCTTAGGCCAGCCATGGATACCAAAGTCTTAGATTTAGTATAAAAAGATCTTGAGTCTGCCCAGTCTTTGTTTTATGAATTTCATAAAAATGGTTTTAGAATCTCTCCTTCCTTTCATTGTTTCAATGTCTGACATATTCAATAGCTGAATGGATATGTGCAGTTGGGATTTAAAAAAGTCAACGAAAGACTTTTCAGATCTTAAACAATTGCAAAATATCGGCTTTAAAAAAACCCAAGTTATTTACTCATTCTATAGTGCAACAAATGGAAGCCTTCTAAACTTTAGTATCACCTGCTGATGTGGGAATTCATCGTCTGACATCAAAGAACGATTAAAAAGACTAATCAAGAAAGCTGGTCATATCACACAAACTAAAAATCCTTCACCTAAAGAACTATATGAAGGAAAATGCTGTCTGAAAACTTAAACAAATTTAGATGATACGACCCACCATCTGCATCACAGATACTTGAAATCAGTTCGATCATGGCGAATTCTTTGTCTTAAAAGTTAGGACCAAAAGTGACACAATTGGTTTTTTTTTTTTTTTGTTTCCCAGTCCGTACGATTTTATCCAGCGTGCTGCCACCAGCGGTTACCAAACCTTAATAATCACAATTAAGCCATCGTGGTTACTGAAGGAGTTCACTTATTGCTGATTTCTACGATAGAGAAATACTTTAGATGTCTTGTGCTTTAAATTGCTATCATTATAAAAAGGTTGTCTCAATGAAACATGAATATTTACATTTTAATTTAATTTATTTTTTATTTGACTCCATAAAAAATCATATTTGATCTGATCTTTTCTTATCTTTTTATTAAACTAACTTATCTGATCATCTTATCTTATCTCATCCTCTCTTATTTATTATCTTATCTCATCTTATCTTAATAAGAAAAAAGTATATTGCCATAAAACCCACTTTAAAAGTTAATTTGTATGTAAAAGCAAACAAACAGGAATCAGAGGTTCCTACACCAGCCTGGAAGCAACCCAATCAAAAGTTTTACTGACTAAATATTTGACAAGTGAATGAAGCTCACAAGGTCTAAATGTGTTGGGCTGCGATAAATCTTCCATGTGGATTAATGAGACACCAACAATCTGTGTAGATAAAACAATTTATGTAAACCTTTAATTATTGCTACACAGAAATCAGAATACCAATGAAAACGTTTCGGCAAATGCCTTCATCAGTAGAACAAAAAACATTAATATCGATATAAATTATAGGCATACATTAATTTATTTAATACACACACACGCATATTTATATATATAATATATATGCATGTATGTATGTATATATTATTTTAACTGTACCTAAAATCGAAAGAAAAGCAAAATAAAAAAACGGGAACAAGTCCCAAATTAAAAAAAAATAAACAAAATAACGGAATTAAAGTATGTGGACAATTTATAAACCAAAAACGGAAAAGGATATTGCAGCTATATAACTGTCAATTTAGTTTATACCGTATGTAGTCCAAGTACCTATTTTTTTTAAAAATAAATTCATTTTCCACATAAATCCTATCAGGTGTACTGCCAGCATACAATGTACCATTAAAGTCAATGTCTAATATTTCATAATGGCGAGCACTAACGAAATCTTTATGAACCGACGAAGGGCACGTTTATTGATGTTGTACAGGTGTTCTCGAAAGCGATCTCCAAGGTTACGAACTGTCGTATGATTTCCCGCACTTTTTACAAAGGAAGATGTAGATCACGTGGCGCCTTGTGCAAGTAAAACCATTGTTGATTCTGTATATTTCAATAGGGAAAGTGATCTTATCAACTTTAATCACACAGGGTCACGGTTGCAAGTTTAGGTGCTTATATGGGCTAAGCATATCCCTAAGACTATTGTCTCTAGGGAAAGCGAAAAGATGAGATTTTTTTGGAAAATCTGATTGGTTAGAGGGTCTGCCACAAGTTAAATTGTTCCAAGATAACATCTTAATCTGAGGCGAGTTACGACGGTTCAAAGCTTAATTCTGTCGTACGATACGAAGATGCATTGATACAACCGATGCATCCCCAGAAGAATGACATAACTAATAAACACTTTAAAAAAACAGAAGACCTCATTTCTTTGGATTCTGCACATTTTGTCACTGTTACGCAATTCCCCAACTTACTAATGACGTAATATAGGTTAATATTCAAAGGGATTCAACCCAAGAAATATTATTGCCATGTTGAGTGCTTTCCCTTGAATTATTTTCCCTAACCACATTATCTGTTATCATTCAAAATGTCCTGATGGTGATAACGATATGTCCTCTATAAACCAAGGAATGATGTCTCCATGGTGGCCTATGTCCTTGGCGGCTTCTATTACTAGCGGACTTTCTTTTATCGCTAAAGAGAAGAAAAACAATTAACCCCCCAAAAAAACGATACGTGTTGTTTGAGACCTGCAACATGTCAATGAAAATGTATAGTTTTGTAGGTAAAATCTTTTATTTGTACTATGTCATGATTCAATGAGAAATGGCAAAAGTAACAATCATGGTAGATTCTAAAATTAAAAGTAGAATGCTTTATGTGGATTGTTGACGCGATCAACCATTGAGTGCCATCGCGATGAAAGTACCTGCATCTACCAAACACAGAGTTTTTTCCCACAAAAAAAAAAAATCATTGTTACTTTGCGTTAACTAGACTACTTTTTCAGTCTCACTACTTTCGAAAGCATCGACCACTTCATATTGTAAACGCATAGACATTCATTAAAAAACCAAATAAAGGTCAGCAGCTCAATAATCAAATGTTCTAAGGTATGGTCTAAAGTTGTTCTAAGGAACAAAGTTGTTCTAAAGGAAATGGTCAAAAGTTGCTCTGGGGTAAATGGTCGAAAGCTGTTCTAATGAAATTGTCTAATTTCGTATAAGGAACAAAGTTGCTGTAAGGAAATGGTCTTAAGGTATTCTGAGAAAATGGTCTAAAATTGTTCTAAGGAATAATGTTGTAAGGAAAAAAGTTGTTCAATGGAAATGGTCTATATGTGTTCTAAGGAAATAGTATAAAGAGTCCTAAGGAAATCGTATAAAAGTTGCCCGAAGAAAGGGGTCTAAATTTATTTCAAAAATGGTCAAAATTTAATCCAATGAAATTGTCTAAAGTTGTTCTAGTGATCAAAGTTGCTCTATGGAAATGGTCTAAAGTTGTTCTTAGGAACAAATATGTTCTTCGGAAATGGTCTAAAATTGTTTCAAGGAAGTGGTCTAAATTTGTGCTTAGGAAATGGTCTAAAGTTGTTCCAAGGAATTGGTCTAAATTTGTTTCTAAGGAAATGGTCTAAAGTGGTTCAAGGTCAAGACTTAATCACACACACACCTTTTATATTGTTTGAGAGCCTCATTAATGACGTGCCCTTCATCACTTCACATACACAAATTAAACAATGACTTGACAAATGACTGCTGAGATAACCATATGACCGCATAACAGATAGGTGCTGATGCTGACCATCTCACCGCTCGAGTTGGAGCCCTGGGTCGTGCTCTGGGTGCCCTGGGTCGTGCCCTGGGTGCCCTGGGTCGTGCTCTGGGTGCCCTGGGAGCCCTGGGTCGTGCTCTGGGTGCCCTCGGTGCCCTGAGTCGTGCCCTGGGTGCCCTGGGTGTCCTGGGTGTCCTGGGTCGTGGAGCACAGGCCGTCGATGCAGTACTTGGCGTCGCTGGGACACGCCGAGCAAGCGGCTCCCTTTTTGTACGGCTTCTGGCCGACGTAGTTCCCGCCAGGGCCGTAGCTGCAGACGACGAAATACCCGGGCCACGGAACGCCTTGCAGGGGGTCGCAGTACTTGATCCCACAACCAACGGACCTCGTCGTGGCCCAGACGTCTGCCGTGTAATGCCCGCAAGTTTTAGAGCAGCTGTTGGTGTCGTAGATGTAGTCCGCCTTCTCGACATTCCACTGGCTCACGGCCCCCGCAGGATATCCCGATGCGTCGGATGCTGCAGCGAGGTTTTCCCCAACCACAGGAAAATTTCCAACGTTCGTTCTCTGGGCCTCAGTTTGGTGAGCGAAATTACATTTCGACGCCCACGCCTGGGCAAACTTCTCAAGGGCGTCATCCCATGTTAAAATCATCATATCACTGGCACCCGAAATTCGCCTCTCCGCATTGTGGGCATCCAGGATAATTTTCTTTTCGCTTTCAGTGAACCCCGTGGTGGACATATCAATCGCCTTCTTTACTCTCAGCAGGGAAGACTCATTTCGCAGGATCAGAATACCTGGAGAGTTTCCGGATGGACTGCTGTCCTCATGCTGTCCACGGGTCAAGGATTCATTTCTATGATAACGTGATGAGGCTATGACCATCGACATCACACAAAACAGCACACAGAGAAATCCGACACCTTGATTCATTCTAATAGCATACAGAATAGTCCAGTTTTTGATATTATAAAATGAGTTATTGCGAACGACTTCCGATGTGATGTGAAGAAAAACTTCAAGTAGACATCAAGCAAAGAAGAAGAGGCCTAGCTTTATCTCGGCTATCTATAAGAAACGAATTCTGGAACTTGTCTAGAATATTACAGTCGTGAAGTTTCACACCAAGGCTATGCGTGATAGAATTGATGTTGGAATATTTTTGTGATCCTGGAAAATATAAATTGTCCTCATCAGTTCTTTTCAAATTGCGTGGTGGGCAAATGGTTAATCGTGGTTTTACATTGGATAAATTATTACTATTTAAAATGACACTATATATACCATCTTGAGTGGAGAATGAATATTTTGGTGCACGAATACAGTTGTAACAGCGGTTTAAAAAAAATTCTAACAAAGTAGAATAACAGATAAAAAGTTTAAAATGTATTAAAATTTGATCCAACTATTTCTTAATGTTTTCTTTTCACACACTAACTTCAGACAAAACCAGTTAAGCACCGACTTTACCTTCACAGATATGGACGGAGAGTCCCCGCTTCTACAGAGAAGCTAGTAATGAGGCCCCGGTGTAGCGACTGCAGTGCGCCTGTTCGTCTGATGTCACACACACAACGTTTTCAAATACTTTAAGGCCGACGAGAAGCAGTCATCTGAGACACGAAAGATTAAAAATAAATAATTGATAAAAAGGGTGGACGCCTCTGTATTGTAACGCTTCAGTTACTCTTTTTTTGTGGGGGGGGGGGGAGGGGGGGGAGAGACGGCAGAACATTTCTAAAACAAAGTCTCATGAATCGATTAAGTAGATCGAACCTACCCCTTCACAGTGCAGTAGAACGGAGACATATAAATACATGACGGCAACAAATAAATAATTGATAAAAAGGGTGGACGCCTCTGTATTGTAACGCTTCAGTTACTCTTTTTTTGTGGGGGGGGGGGAGGGGGGAGAGAGACGGCAGAACATTTCTAAAACAAAGTCTCATGAATCGATTAAGTAGATCGAACCTACCCCTTCACAGTGCAGTAGAACGGAGACATATAAATACATGACGGCAACGCCGTCAATACATTGAAAGATAAGACGTCTGGGCAGACGATGGAAGTTCTGAAGTGTTCACGACCGTACAAAAATAATGACGCATTGTGTCGTAGAGGGTACTTGTTGAAGAAAACCCCAAATTGCAGTGTTTCTCAAACTTTTTTTGCTCATACCCCGCTGATTCTACTGAAGTGTTTTAATGCTACTAAATCCCAAACATAAAAACAAAAATAAATTTAAAAAAAAAATTTAAATGAACAAAATTTAAATTGTAATAAATGATGAGATGACGACCGAATTTCGGTTTCAGTTTCGTCAAAGAAAGGTTCAATAGTATCACTTTTTAAAAAAGACAACAAGAGCTATCAACTCTAAGGCACTACAAAAACAATCACTGCACAATCAAGGGGGGTTAACTATGGCTCACCTGGCGCATTAACTCCCGATCTAAATTCAAAATTGAATAGAAATTAGAATAGAATATATATATATATATATTCGAATTAATTATAATTAGAACTCTTTGGCTATTGCTGTTACAAAGAATAGTTTCCTGGGAATTCACGCACAATTTTCCACCCATTGGATTTAAACGCCTAAAGTCAAAAGAATAAAAAGAAAAAAAACAGTCCCATTGGCAGAAAACTAAAATAAAACGTAATTTGAAAAGGAAGGAAACAGTCAGGTTGACATTTTTTAATATATATTTTTTACCCAAAAGAAACACAATAACTTCGACAATTTACAAAGTGATATCAGCTTCAGAACAGGAAGCAGTTAAGCAAACAATATAGAAAAATAGCAAACACTCTTGAAATTAGTAATGATATGCCTAAAACTGAACATATCACTATCATAGACTCACCACTGGAACACGATTTTCAGTCTGTTGTGAAGTTACCACCAAACGATGCTTCTCTTGTGTAGGTTTGTTCATTTATTGACAACAGATGGGGGGCCACGTCTTAGTAGATGCTGCATGTACTCTAAACAATTCATACAGCATGAAAATATTAAAGGCCAATTGAATTGTTCAATTATTATACCTAAAGCAAATAATTAATTTTTTTTAAAATTATTTTGCTCACGATCACACACAATGTAAATAATTTAACCGGCAATGACCTTTGTGTTCACCATTAATGACCATTAATTATTCTTTTTTTTTCATTTAAAAAAAAATTGAACAAAGCCCGTTTTCGTGAAAAAAAAAGATAAAAAAACAGATTGTGAAATATTAATCGCTGATGTAAAAAAACAAATTCTTTAACAAATGGAAACAATACCTTCATTAAAAAAAAATAAATTAAACTAAATTAAATACAATTAATCCGTGTGCATCAATAAGCCAATCAGTTGCTTCAAAAAAAAAAAAAGATGCTGAATTCAATGTTTGCCATGTTCTATAATGCGACTTACGATAACTCTCATATTGTCTGCATTCGAACGGGCTTAACTTTGTAGGTCTCTGCACTTGGGGGAGATCTCATCTCGTTATATCATAACTTTAAATAGTCTTTAAACAGTAAATCCGCCGGCCCTCGTCCGATGTTATGTTTAGTGGTTCAAGATTGGCCAAGAATTCTACAGTACTCGAAGAGCCTTGCCCTTCTTATTTTTAGTAGTTCAACAATGAGAGAGAGAGAGAGAGAGAGAGAGAGAGAGAGAGAGAGAGAGAGAGAGAGAGAGAGAGAGAGAGAGAGAGAGAGAGAGAGATGGGACTCACCTGCCCCGTTGCCACAAGAGCGAGCTCCTCTTGCAAGGGTCCGGTGAGGTGACTCACCTGCCCCTTGCCACAAGAGCGAGCTCCTCTGGCAAGGACCTGGTGAGGGGACCCTGGCGGAAGAGCTTACTTACCACCAGGGCTTTTTTTATATCAAAATGTATCTGTCTTTCACTTACATTTGGGGGAGGGAGAAGAGATCGAGGGCACTGGACGAAACTGGGGGTAAGGTTTGGGTAGAGGTCTCTGTAAACCAAACCCCCAAAACTGTTGATAAATTCAAATCCTTGAATGCATTTTGGCGCATACATGAATTTAGCTTTGCATTATTCTACACTTCAACAACAACGGGGAAGCAAAAGAGAAGATGCTGGTTAAAAATTTAGGATCCCTTGACAGTGCTTGAGTTACAAAAGTCCTTCTTGTTTTCAGTTGTCTCTAAATAGAATTGTCATTTCACAGTTTTATTTTTAACATTTTTAATATTTTTACTTGTTTAATTTAAACTACTTGATGATAAATGAATGACTTTAAAAATACATTAAAAAAAATGTCTGTTCAAAATCGCATCAACAATACATTAGTATGTTAATATAACAATTATCATTTTTAAATTTAATTTAAAACTTAAGTAGGTTTCCCCCAAAATGTACAGTTAAAAAAAATGAGAAAAAATTCTGTTTTGTAGAAGAGGTCTATAGATTTTGTATCTATGTTTAAAACAGGTCATTTTTAAAAAATAAATTGTATCTAAATTGTATTAATAAAAAAGAAGTAAGGAACTATTTACAAAATATGTTATCTATTTATAAATATGCAATTTATCCGAGCGAAACCGAGACAGAGTAAATTTCCAAAATACGAAAATTTTCTTCATTTTAATTACTGAATTACTAAAATGATTAACGTTTGGTGCCGTCTGTAAGACTCATTGATTAACCCACCCCTCTCACCCACCTTCTTCTATATCTTAAGGGCCCACGATCAATTTATTGATCATTTTGGCTCCTATGCATGTAGATGGGATTTGCAATGTTTCTGTTACTGGTGGTGATGAGGAAATTATGCACTAGGGGTTTGAAGGCTTGAGGCAATAGACACAAATGTGTCTAGTGTTGTCGCCTCAACTGTTCCTTTTGAAAGATGGTTCCAGTCCCTGATTGTCTTGGGCAGGAATGAGCAGCTCCTATACTGGCTTCTTGCTGGTATGAGCCTGAATTGCCTGTCATGGCCTCGTCGCTGTCTATGGGGGAGAGGGACGAGTTTCTGTTTAATACTGGAACAGTGGACCAGCCCATTATTTATCTTGTACATCATGGAGAGCCTGGATTGTCGTCGTCGTTTCTCCAATGGTGACCAGCCTAGTGTTTCTAGCATGCTGCCAACACTAGAGGTATTCCTGTAGCGGTTTAGGACAAAGCGTGCTGCTCGTCGCTGGACCGCCTCCAACCTGTCAATGCTCTTCTGGGTAAATGGGTCCCAGACTGAAGATGCATAATCTAAAATCGGACGGATAAAGGCTTTATATGCTCTTTCTTTCACACAGGAGTTGCCAATCTTTAGATTTCGCCTTAAGAACCCCAAGGCTTGGTTTGCTTGGTTACATACATTGTTAATATGCTCGTCCCAGCGGACCTCTCTTTGAATGGTAACACCCAGGTACTTTACGGAGGAAACTTGCTCAAGAATATGGCCGTGCAGTTTGTATTGGTAGTGTAGAGGAGTACAACTTCTAGAGATTGATAGTGTCTGGCACTTGGCAGGGTGAAATTCCATGTCCCAGCTCATCTCCCACTCAGCTAACAGATTGAGATCCTGTTGTAGCTGGTCCTGGTCAGATCTGTTGGCGATCGTCCTATACACTGCTGTGTCATCTGCAAACAGTCTTGCCTGTGATGTCAGTTTCTCCGGTAGGTCATTAATGTATGCTAGGAACAAACAGGGGCCCAGGACTGATCCCTGGGGGACCCCTGACTTCACATTGACAAAGGAGGAGCTTGTACCGCCCACCACTACTGCTTGGCGTCGGTGGCTGAGGAAGCTAGAGATCCATGTTTTAGTGGTGCCTTGAATCCCATATATCTGGAGTTTGTGTAGAAGCAAACTATGATTCACCCGGTCAAATGCTTTTGCGAAGTCCATTACTAGCACGTCAGTCTGCTTGTGGTTCTCCAGATTGGTCATCAAGTCTTCTACAAATTCGAGAAGCTGGGTCTCACATGACCTATTGACTCGGAAGCCATGTTGACAGTCATTGAGTATATTTTTGCTTTCAAGATGCTTCATGACAGAGCTTACGATTATGTGCTCCAACAATTTGCAGACGACGCTAGTGAGGGATATCGGACGATAGTTGGCAGGGTCGGAATGCTCCCCTTTCTTGTAAATTGGAGTGACATGCGCTGTTCTCCAGTCTGCTGGAACATTTCCTGTGCATAGTGACGATTGGAAGAGGATTGTCAGTGCAGGAGCGATTTCTTTGGCTAATTCTTTGAGCACTCGTGGTTTAATGTGGTCAGGACCACATGCTTTGTAAGGATTAATGGTATTGAGGAGGGCAAACACACCTTGTTCTGATATCTGGATATCTCCCATGATAGGATAGGCTCTGTTCATCATTTTGGTCTTCAGAAGGAACTCAGTCTCAGAGTACTCTCTACCGTCACCAAAGACCGACTGGAACTGCTGATTGAGTATCTCCGCCTGTGCTTTTGGGTCAGATGTCAATTGGCCATCCCACCTCAAGGGGGAAACTCCAGCGTTTGAGGACTTTTGGTGTTTCACATAGCTCCAGAAGCGCTTGTTCTTGACATCTTTGGTCGGG